CAGAATTTTAATTTTAAATATTAATTAAGATTTCGTTGGTAATTGGTAGGAAACTTCCAACGCTTTTCCCACGAAAATCTTTAGGATATCTTCTTCCGTAGGAAATTTGTAGGAATTATGTTGAAATCTACTTTGGTCCTAAGTTTGTAGGAAATTTGAAGGATATTTCCTACAAAACACTTTCGTTGGAAATATTTTGTAGCTAAAAGCAAATATTCTAATAGTGATATGCTCATGTAATATCGTGTAAAGTTGTTCGGGATTCCAAAAAATATGTAAATGAGGATGAGAAGAAGGTGTTTCTTGATTCATAATACCTTTTTGTGGCTCAACATTCAACAATCTTCATGCATTTCAACAATCTTCATGCATTTCTTCACTCAAAGTTACTTTACAATGTCACTCATCAAAAAGTTAATGGCACTTGTACTTGGTCTTTCAATTTGTGAAAGCCTTGTAAGTGTTATATATTAATATTTTAATCAATCATATGGGTGCTCTAGAGAAAATATGGATTATACCTTTTGTAATCAATATAGTAGATTTTCAACCATTCATTTTATATTAATTTTTTAATTAAATAATCACATTCAATGTCCACATGGCATTTGAAATAACTTGCAAGCACCACCAACGATGTGGATGCTCTAAGGGATGTTTGTTCTATTTATAGCTTTTATCAAAATTTCCATGCAATGGGTGTCACACATTTCCTAAAAATCCACCACCTTGTCCAAAAAACTAGGAATGTTAACCTCTTTGATCGATAGAAACTCACGTAAACGATTAGTTTTCGACATATTTCCACCTGAAGTATTATCAAACAAAGATGCGCATGCTCATTCATATATGTTTGGAACGAATGAGCTTAAAAAAAAAAAACAAAAGTTTCCATAAGCTGTTAGGTCCAGGTAAACAAAAAAAAAAAAAAAAAAAATACGAACGTTCTATGGTCTATGAGGACTACTCAACTTTGACTTCAACTCATATGAAAGATGAGTGTTGAGGTATTCTTGTTTCATTTTTAGGTTTTCTAGTAGCAGAAATGAATACCTCATTGAACATCCTCAATTGTTTATGGATGCCATATACTAAACATATAAACCTTGTAACTCATTGTTATTTAGGTGTCTTTCCTCTTGGTTTGATTACAACTCGAATATAACATTTGAGGATACTTTTAAGAGGTATACCTGTATACTGCGCATTTTGAATCAATAATGGAGTTTGAAACTTAGCTTGAAAGATTTCAATTGTATTTTATTATTGTAAATGATTGAAATTCTCTAAAAAATTGCCTTCAATATGTCTAGCAAATTTTGTTTTTCATGGAGACCCCACAATGAAAGACATCTTATTTTGAAGAATATGAAACTTTTTAGGCTAGTTTGGCCGTAATTGTCAAACCATAATGACTAAATATATCTTATTAGCGATGAACAATTGGTACCAAATCTCAACCACGTACCGGTTTTGGTACCATATTAAACATATAGGATGACATTCAGTATTCTAAAATCATGAAATACGGGATTTTGTGTCGTTGGTACCGGTGTTAGTACCAAAAACCCGTAATGTTACTTCGGTTCAATACTCGATATAGTTTTTTCATCCATTTCGGTATTCAGGATTCTCAAGTTGGTACATGTTTTGCCCCTTGTTCACTCATATGTCTTATTCTTATATTATAATTGATATAATTGATGTGTTTTAATAAAATGATAAAATAATCAAATTACATTATTTATTGATAAAATAATAAGATTTCGATGTGGTGTTTTTTTAATTTCTTTGAAGTGAAAATAATTTTTTGATGCTAAGAAAACTTTCCTTTAATGCAAACAAAAAATATTCAGTTGAGATTTTGAAATCTTCTTGGCGGTTTATTGATCGAATAGAATCTTCCCAAAATATCAAACTTGTCGAATCCTTTGATCGATTCATTCAAAAATCCACAATTGATAGAAGGTAGCTAGATGTTCGATCATCCAGTGGACTAGCGAAACCAAAATTTCCTTATAATTTCTATTGGTCGTTATTGCAAGAAAACCGGTAACAAAATGTGAAGTTTGTGCGTTCCAATCACAACCCCATTTTCTTTCTCCAATCTCCACATCTAATCAGTTTCCTCTCATCAACATTTTCCAATTTCAGGAATCAAAGGTGTGTTCCAAACGTGTTTTTATGTTTTTCAATACAATTTTACGTATACGGCTTAGGTTTTTTCAGACCGATGGTAGATAATCCCGATTCAATTGCAAATTTGCAATGCATGTAATTTCTTAGATTTAGGGATGAAGTTTGAATACGATTAAAGATGTAAATGACGCTCTAGAGGAACCAAAACCAGTTTTGTATGGTATAGATCGTAATCCTACATGCATATAATGTAAACACAATAGCATATTCGCATGAGCTATAAGTGAAGAACCTTGATTTTTATCTATCTTCTGGTATATATATACATATATCTGTATGTATATCTAGACATCTCTGTTTATTGAATGGATAAAAACGCTTCATGTCCACCGTCACAATCACAACCACCGCCGCCTAAAAATCAAAAGCTACGTCGTTTCAATGTGTGTGAGGATGATACACCGACTACCGCATCTCCTACAGCATCAACATCATCGAGCGCACATTATGAGTCGGAAAAGCAACAACAACCTATCGCCACTCTTACCAGAAGCGCGGAATATCGTTCTCAAAAAAGCTCGACTGATTCACCTCAATGCTCTTCTCTTCAATACTCAGACACGCTTTTCGATTCACCACACACTCAAATACAATCCATTGGTTCTCGGAAAAAGCCCTTGAATGTTCTACTCTTACACGGGAATCTAACTATTTGGGTTCACGAAGCAAAAGACCTTCCAAGCATGGACATGTTCAACACCAGTGATCCGTATGTCACGATTGCTATAGGAAATGCAGTTATTGGAAAAACATACGTGATTAAGAACATCGAAAACCCTATCTGGAATCAACGATTTGATGTTCATGTCGCACATTATGCTTCTGAAGTTCACTTCCTCGTGAAAGACAGTGATACAGTCGGATCTCAACTTATAGGAGTTGTAGCAATCCCAGTTAAAGATATATATTCCGGATCCAAAATTGAAGGATTCTTTCCATTGAGGAACACAAACGGGAAACCTTTCAAGAAAGAAGCTTCTTTAAAACTTGCAATGCAGTATGAACAGATTGAAAAATTGAGCTCATATAACAATGGAGTTGGAGCTGGCCTTAAATATATTGGGGTTCCAGGTACTTATTTTCCATTGAGAAAAGGCGGGAAAGTTACTCTGTATCAAGATGCACATGTACCTGATAATAGCCTTCCATGTAGTGAGCTTGATGGTGGCATGCATTATGTTCATGGGACATGTTGGATTGACATATTTAATGCAATTCAAAATGCTAAACGTCTTGTTTATATCACTGGATGGTCTGTATGGCATGAAGTCAAACTTGTTCGTGAGGCAGTCAATGCACCAAAACACACACTTGGTGATCTTCTTAAAATAAAATCACTTGAAGGTGTTAAAGTTTTGCTTCTTGTTTGGGATGATCCTACTTCAAGAAACATCATGGGCTACAAAGTGGTATATAATTTCTTCAACAAATTAATGTGTTTGGAACTACAGATTTTGGGTGTCTTTAAATATGATTTCTTTTTAAGAAATGGCAAATTTTAAAGATTAATATTTTTAGGATGGATTGATGGCTACACATGATGAAGAGACACGCCGTTTTTTTAAGAACTCTTCAGTGCAAGTGATGCTTTGTGCTCGTATGGCTGGGAAGAAACATAGCTGGGCTAAGAAGCAGGTATGCATTCATTGCATTCAATTAAGAATAAATTACAAAAATGATCCTTGTGCTTTCGAATATTTACCAGGTTAGTCTAAATTTAAAACCTTTTTCAGTTTTCCTCCTTATTTTTAAGGTTTCATATTGTTTTTAGTCCATAAACCTTGAAATACGGATTAAAATCGATATGAAACCTTGAAATAAGGGTCAAAATTGAAACTCTATTTTAAATTTGGACAAAAAAATGGTAAAAGTTAGAAATAATAGGCACCATTTTGTAACTTACAAATTACAAAACTAATCCCTGGCATTTATGATTTTTACTGTGTTTATTCAAAAATTGATTTTTTTTTTCATTTTTGGTCCTTATTTCAAGGTTGAATATCGTTTTTGGTCCCCAAACCTTGTAATAAAGACCAAATAAATATGAAATCTTGAAAGAATGACCAATACCAGAAATGTTAGGGACCAAAGTTTATATGAAACTTTAAAATAAGGCCCAAAATCCAAAAACATTGGTAAACATAAAGCACAGACCATTTTTGTAGATTACTCTTAATTTAATCATGTATGAATGTCTTTTTCAATTTGTTTTTTTAGGAAGTTGGAACTATCTATACACACCACCAGAAAACCGTAATTGTAGATGCTGATGCTAAAAACGGTAAAAGAAAAATTATATCTTTCATTGGAGGACTTGATCTATGTAATGGTCGATACGATAATCCAAAGCATCCAATATTTAAAACCCTAGACACAATACATGCAGACGACTTTCATAATCCTACTTTCACGGTATTCTATTTACAACTTTTGATTTAATCATTATAAACTATATTAAAAATTTTGCACGATTTTAATATATCATTGGTGAATGATGTTTTATTTTTTAAAAAGGGTAATAATCTTGCGGGTTGTCCTAGAGAACCATGGCATGATTTGCATAGTAAAATTGATGGTCCAGCTGCATATGATATTATCAAAAACTTTGAGGAGAGATGGCTAAAGGCTTCAAAAGCTAGTGGTGTAAAAAAATTGAAGGCTTTGTATGATGATGCTTTAGTCAAAATAGACACTATGCCAGAATTTTTAACCGTTAATGATGAACCTTGCCTTAGTGATCAGGACCCTGAAGGTTGGCATGTTCAGGTAAAATAAAAAAATGGATTGCACATTTTGTCAAAAATACAATATTATTCTCATTGAAAAGTTATCTAACAAGATTTTGTTTTTATTTCAAGCAGATTTTTCGTTCTATTGATTCAAATTCGGTTAAAGGGTTCCCAAAAGATCCAAAAGAAGCTACAACCAAGGTGCTCAATTAGAATGAATATCTTTAATAAATAATCATGAAATGCTTATAAAGGTATTCATTGATAAATTTGTGTAAACAGAATTTGTTTTGTGGGAAGAATGTGCTTATTGATATGAGCATACATTCTGCATATGTAACGGCTATTCGTGGTGCCCAACATTTCATCTATATTGAGAACCAGTACTTTATTGGATCATCCTATAATTGGAGTAATTATAAAGATTTGGGTAAGAAAGATTTTTTTTTACATGTTAGCATAATAATATTTGAACACCTGCTGTTGTTTTCCTTTTGTAGGTGCTAATAATTTGATTCCGATGGAGATTGCTCTTAAGATTGCTAATAAAATCAGAGCACATGAAAGATTTGCTGTGTATATCGTCATCCCTATGTGGCCAGAGGGTGTCCCCACAGGTTCCGCTACACAAAGAATTCTATTTTGGCAGGTATCCATTTAAAATATTGAGTATGATCTTTAAGAGGGCAAATAGTTTAACCAAATTATTGAAGTTATTAACAGTAAATATGCAATGAATTAAACTCCCATGAAATTCCCAAAATACCAAAGTTAAATGAATTACACAATGCTTCCTTTAACACAAGGAATTCAATTCCAAATAACTACTTAATTCACTCAAATGTTAAAATACCATCTTTAACCCTCTGGTAATGTCATAGCTACACAATACACCCCTCCAAATCCGTTTGTCGTCCCAATTCCCTCCCTTGAGATTTTTGTAAAGGTCTTTCTCTCCCAAATTACATCAAGGTCAAGATAATACTAAGGGTTGCCAAGAAGCAAGAATTTAGTGATGTTTTTAGGTTATCAATACCAACACTCTCACTCTTTGTAATGGTCATATCATGAACGTATAGTAATAGTAGAATGGTATCTGCATTTGTGGCACATAAAACATGCGAATGTTAGAATCATAGTTACCATATGAGAAGCCCACAAATATAACCATGTTGAATTTTTCGAACCAAGCTCGGGGAGCCAATTAAAGACCATTATACGCTTTTCAAAGTTTGCAAACATACCCTCATGGTGATTAATTCCACCGAGAGGGCATATGTAGTGAAAATCCATAACCAATAACAATGATTCGAAACCTTTTGAGTAGAATAAGGCTTATATTCATTTGAACAGAGAAAATAATGCCAGTGCTTAATTTTGATCGGGAGAAAAAACTAACAAGTTGGGAAACGACTGAAGCTTGTGAAATGTTGAGTTGTGGATGATTATCTTCCCTTTGACCTCATAATTGCTATGGAGATTAAGCATATCAGTTTCAACATCACAATCTAAAGTTGCATATCTCAGTAGAGCAACTACATTATCTTGGCAAGAAAGTTTGTGGTGTCTCAGTGAGAAGGGTTGTGGTGTCTCAAGGGGTGCACTTTCTCCATGAGAAGGGTTATTGTGCTTGCTTAGAAGGTTGTGATAACAGCTGCAAAGTAAGGCTACAATGTTTTGGCCCAGACCATAAGCAGACTTTTAGGTCAACTTATCTTTATAAATAGATCATTTTATACAAATGTAACCCTAATAAAGAAAGCGTGTGTGAAAGCTATTATTAATAAAATCCCACTCTAGTTCCTCTACACACATAACTCGATTTCTCTGATCGAATTAATCACATTAAATCCTTATGTTCTTTATTTTCTTCGCATATTTAATTATCGTGTTTTGTGTTTATTAACTTCTTAATCTTAGTGTTGGGATATTTGCTTTTGGATAAAGAGGCAAGCTGCCCAACTTTATTCCACCAACAAACAATCAATTACAACGAAGAAAAAACATTTTTTAGACATAACCTGAAAATGGGTCTCTAACCAAACATCAAAAAACATACCAAAATAATAGAATGGGCCAACAAATATAATACCCAAAATTATGATTCTTCACTTCAAGTCTTCAAGCATCATCTGATCCATCCATTATACGCTTTAACAGGCCCAAAGATAACTTCATCCAATTAATCATCTCCTTATTAATATCTTCCATATCCATATTATTTGGCCCACTGTGATTATTCTTCTTAAAGCGAACCCACTTCCACCACTACTCCATTAGAATTCTCAGCCCAATTTTCTCTAAATTGAAGCAAAACTCCCATCTCAAAACTCAAAGTAGAAAATAATCGGCCAACATCTATTATAAGCTTCAAGAGCTTTTAAATATCCTTCGATTATAGACTTAACAATTAACAATACCGAAGCCCAATATATGTGCATAGACGAATCATTTGTAGTCTTCCAGAAAATGATGAAGGACTTATTTTTCCAATCACAAATTCCTTTTCTGACTTTTTCCACCAACTCTTTGTATTTGGAAAATCTAACAAACCATATGGAGTATTAGAGTTTACTAGATTATTAATGATTAGGTTTTGACTTTTAACCTTACAGAACAAAACAATGCAAATGATGTATGAGACAATCTACAAAGCTTTGTTGGATGTTGGACTAGAGGAAGCAGAGTCACCACAAGACTATTTGAACTTTTTCTGTCTTGGCAACCGCGAAAACACCATCCCTAATCCTAAGACCGATTTGCCTAATGACAATACTCCTGAGGTAGGTTATAAACCTTCAAATTCAAATTCAATTAACCAATATCTCTCTCCAATTTCAATCCTTAATCTATACTTGTTTTGATTTATTTCAGGGGTTGAGTCGTAAGAACGGGCGATTCATGATCTATGTACATTCAAAAGGAATGATAGTAGACGATGAGTATGTGATTATCGGATCTGCAAACATCAATCAACGATCAATGGAAGGAAATCGAGACACAGAGATTGCAATGGGAGCTTACCAACCTCATAATACATGGGGAAGAAAACACATGGATCCACGAGGACAGGTAATTTTAGGTCAAAATCATTCAATTCGTAGAGTAAAAGTGTAAAACAATTGGTTTGTAATGAATCTAGGTTTACGGATATCGAATGTCGCTATGGGCCGAGCATCTTGGGACGATTGATGAGAAGTTCAAGCATCCAGAATCTGTTGAGTGTGTAAGACAGGTTAGATCAATGGCAGAAGCAAACTGGGCGAAATTTGCGTCTAATGAGAGATGCGAGATGAAAGGTCATTTGTTGAAGTATCCTGTTCGCGTTGAACGATCGGGAAAGGTGAGATCTCTTGATGAAACTCTTGAGTTCCTGGATGTTGGTGGCCAAATTGTTGGGTCTTTTTCGGGAATTCAAGAGAATTTGACTATCTGACTATCAAAGTTAGGAGGGGCATTTCCAACCCAAATTTTTGTTGTAAAAACGAACGTAAATTTGTTGTTATTAACAGTATTACATCAAATCCTATTGAAGTTTCATTTTTTTGTCATACAAGTTTAGTTAATACAATATTTTGTTTATTTTAGTTGTTTCAAGTTTAAGTTTGTATATTTTAACTTAATTTAATTGTATTGTCATATTTTAAGTTGTTTTAGAATTAACTTGAATTATTAGTTATTTATTCATACGGACTATTCTCGTGGTGTAAAAAGTTGGTATTAGGTTGGAGATGAATCATTATTTGTTTATTTTTTATGTTTTTTAGATGCTAAAAATAGGTAGGAAAAAAAACACAACTTTAGTAAAATTCATTAATTACATTCCAAATAATAGCCAAAAAATTAAGAAATTGCCCATATAATAGGATGCGACTTTCATCGATGTGATTTCGTATTTGTCCGATTTCCAGCTTTGAAGTTTGATCCCTCATATCTTCCTTAAATGAACTCCGTTGACCCGTTTTTTAATTATGTTCTTTGTAGCAAAGGTTTCCATTGATATACTACCATCGATATTTGGACATCTGAAAATCCTCATTTCTTTCAAAGCTCCAAAGTATGCCTCTTGGGCTATAGAGGCAGCTTTTCCAAACTTAAAACATTTTTTCCTACTATTTTTTTGGGTTCATGAAAACTTTTATCCTAACTTCAAATGTTTGTAACTGTTTCGTATTAACTCAGGTTTCGTCGATTCTTTTATCTATGGATTCCTTATCATGTCGACTACATGTTTCATTTAGAAAGCTACCGGATATCCACTCTACATTTCGAGTTGTGATTTGTGAAGCTCCAAACCACTCATATACTATTAATAACAAATTATCGAACTAAATGTGGGGATAAATTTTGTAATTCGCAATTTGACCGGTTGCTAAATTAATAGTCATTTCGTGATAAGCCAAAATAATGATTAATTTGTTAAATGTCAAACCAAATCGTAGCCATTTTTGTCAAATGTTGTGATTTCCATATACTTCAAAGGAAATTATAATAATTATAGCATATAGCTTGGCTCCCAAAGGTATTTCACCTAACAAAATGATAAGCAGGTGAAACATTTCCAGCGACATTGTAAAATGGGTTAATAATATTTTTGCCAATAAATTAATTTCAATGTATGTGAAATATTACTTTAGATACTCTATTATCCTAAAATGTAACCGACTATGAAAGGTGCTTCAAATTGATCATCGTAATCTATTATAGGAGGTTTACAGATTATCTAACTTTTTTCTGTTTTTATAATTTGGCTTAATTTAACTTTTGTGCCAAAATTGTAAAACAAAAACGTAGGTAACCTATAAACTTACTATAGCATGTCATGTGCTCACAATGACTAATTTGGAACCACTTTTTAAGTCTTAAAGGGTTAATGTCATAAAAACCCTCAAGTTTACAGGGTTTTGTCGGTTTTGCCCAAAGTTGAAATTTATGTCCGTTTTTATCCAAACATTTTCGAAAAAATGTTCGATTTTACCATTTTACCGGTGATAACAGGTTTTCCAGGTTACCATTATATTA